AATATACAGCTTGGTATAATAGGATGGGCCAATATCTGCACTGAAAAATTTGAAACTTTTACGGGAAGAAAACTGCAAGAAACTTGTATAAACATCCCCCAAATCCGATTACAGAGATAGGAGCTGTAACAATTTTATGGGGCCTTGCAATACACACAGACAGACAATCAAAGCTAATCGCCCAGACATCGTGACCAATGAACACAAAAACAGAACGTGTTTTCTTATTGACATGGCTGTCCCTGGAGATTAGGATGTATCTTTGAAGATCTTCAACAAACTATCAAAATACAAGGATCATGAAGTAGAAATTTCACAAATGTGGCACATGAGGACATCAATAATTCCAGTTGGAGCCCTCGGTATGATTGGAAATGGTTCCGATAGACTCATTAAAAGGTTAACTGGTTGCCCATGCCTTAAAGAAATACAAGACAACAACACTTTACAAAGGGACTTATCAATGTAAATTGTTTGTGCTCTTAAGTTCCAAAAATGTTGATTGAAAATATCGTTTCTGACCTTAGCTCTCTGGAAAAAATCAGTATAAAATAGAAATCAAATGAAATAATAATAATAATAATAATAATAATAATAATAATTGTTGCCTATGTAGAAAGTATGAACACTTGAAATCGACGAGAAATGGTAATACCACAAGCTGGAAACAGTGATCGTAAAGGACCAAATCAAAATTTTGTGGGATTCCAAAATCCAAACAGACCGCAACCTTGAGGCCATCAAACCAGGAATCATCGTCGTTGAAAACAGAACAAAATAAAATAAAACAAAATCAACCAAATAAAAAAAAAAAATACATAAGAAATCGTAAAGACCTACACTGAGAAAATTGGTATAAAACCTCGTATCCCATTATTTCAGAAGACTGTTTTGCTTGACACTGCAAATATTCCGTTAAAAGTGTGCACTATTTGAGGTCAGACGACTTAATCGAAAATATCCATAATGCAAGATCTCCGGTGGAAAAAAACCCAGAAAAAGATAATAATAATAATAATAATAATAATAATAATAAGAAGAAGAAGAAGAAGAAGAAGAAGAAGAAGACGAAGGACTTTATCTATGTAATATGTGTGTGATTTTGGATTTTTTTTTCTTTCTCAAAACATGCTTAATGGAAAAGTCAAGATACCATTTTTGACCTTAGATCTTTGGTTGGGACCCGGAAAGAAATGAATATACACCAGAAATCAAAGGAATAATAATAATAATAATAATAATAATAAATACTTACAAAAGACAGCAAAGACGAATGCAACCGGCCAGATGCAGAAGCGATGGCAAGATAAACCGCTTCATGGCCAATACTCTGCCCGTACCAAACAAGCTGACGTAGACAAAACCCGTACCCATTAGTGGCTACGTAGTGCAGGGTTGAGAGCGGAAACTGAAGGTTTTATCTTTGCTGCACAGGACCAATGCTTGCTAACTAGGAATTATCAAGCACATATACTAAAATATTGTGTCAGCCCAAAATGCAGATTCTGTGATAAATATCCAGAAACGATTGATCATCTTGTATCAGGTTGCACGATGTTGGCACCCGCTGAGTAAAAAACCCAACATGACAGAGTTGGCCAATATCTGCACTGGAAAATTTGCAACTTCTACGGGAAGGAAACTGAAAGAAACTGATATGAACACCACCCAGATCCGGTTACGGAGATATGACCTGTTACAATTCTATGGGACTACACAATACACACTGACAGAACAATCAAGGCCAACCTCCCAGATATTGTTATTAAAGACCACAAACAAAAACGGTGCCTCCTTATTGATATGGCAGTCCCTGCTGACTGCAATGTATCTTTGAAGATATTCAAAAAGCTGTCAAAATACAAGGACCTTGAAATAGAAATCTCGAAAATGTGGCATATAGGAACATCAACAATCCCTGTTGTAGTTGGAGCCCTAGGTCTGGTTGGAAAAGATTGCAGTAGACTAATTGAAGGGATTACTGGAAGTCCATGCCTCAAGGAGATACAAAAAATTGTTCTGACAAGTACAGCCCACACTTTACGAAGGGCTTTATCTATGTAATTTCTTCTTTTTTTTTGTCAGTGGAAAGTGTCATGCAGCCATTTCTAACCTTAGGTCCCTGGGCGGGACCCGGAAAGAAATGTGTAAATGCCAGAAATCAAAGAAAATAAAAAAATAATAATAACAATTATGAGTAAATATTATTGTGTCAGATTATGTAAAGATGATAGTTTGAGCCAAAATTATAGCCCACAGTAGTGAGCATTTAGAATAAAATTAGTCTTTGCGAGTTCTCAGCTTCGTATGTAAGACGTAGACTAATTTTTAGCCATATTTTTAAAAGTCTATTAATTTGTGCAACTTCTATAGAAATTTACTTTCCCATTTATAAATTTTATTCCTTTTTAAACACTGAAACTGATATGCCGTTTAGATTGTAAAACTGGAAGAAAAGCTAGAAATCTTGAACTGTTTAAAAGAAACGCATTCTTGATTTTGGTTTTACAACGTTGGATATATGAAGAATTGTTTTTTAAAATGGCAAGAAAAACGACTCAAGTCAATGTAAAAGATGCTTCCACAAAAAAAATCATCTCGTAAAAAATCAAATAAAAAGAAACAATAAAAGTAAAATAAAATAAGCAAAAATATTTAGAAAATAATTACATCGTGACATTTCAAAAGGTCAAAATTGTGAAAATGCCGTTTAATTGGGATTTAGATTTTAGATGAATTCTTCAGTAGTCTAAGGAATATGCATCTTTTAAAAATTATTTGCGTGACTTCGGAACATGTTTTTATGTGTAGTTTTTATCAATTGTTTATCGAATACAAGGCTCAAAAGCGACTCAAGGTAGAGGTTTGCTGATTTAAGTTGTAATATGGATGTAACAGGAGCAGTGACTATGCAGGAGCTATAACGGTTGATCCTAGACTCGACGATTGTAGTGTTAAGGGAAGCATTCTCTCGGGAGTTTGTCTCACATAGTAGCTCCTCTCGAGAAGTTGTCTTAGTGGAACTTCCAAATGAAACAAAAGGGAATGTGGATGATTCATTTTAGTGTACGTGGCATGGTAGATATTAGCTGTGAATAAGAGAAGAAAAAGAAAAAAATGCCCTGTAATATACGTAAGGCTACTGGACGGATAATACACCTAAGCGAAGGTAAATGTTATTGCAAAATAATTAATATTAGGTGTGTGCAAATATTTCCAGAATTTTGAAAAAAAAGGAAGGCTGGAAGCTTTTGTACATCGATATAAATAAATCCGAATGTCAGTGTGTCACCGTGTCACACTTTTTCAACTTTACTCCAAGAGGCCGGAGCCTAACATATCATTTTGGAATCAGGCCGACTCCGTGAGCAAATTAAAAACATTTCGGGTCGGATCCAGACCGCAATCCTGAAATTTTCGATTCCCAAATTTTTACTATTTCGATTGTTTTCGGCGATTTTTTTTTACGTGATCTTTGGCGACGAATTTTTTGTACGGTAAGAATTTTTGTAACTTGGAAATAAATTTGGGAATAATTGAAATTAATTGTGAAATCTGATGAAAGTCACTACCCTAAGCTTGTTCTAAGGATAATGTTGTTAACTTTTCCCCATCCTAAAAGATAATGGTGTCGTCTGCGACATCTGTCATTTTTGAATATGAGAAAACAATGCGTTTATGGATGGAATGCAGACCCCAGCTTCAGAAGGAGAAGAAAAAGAGAAAGAAAGAAAGAAAGAAAGAAGTTGAAAGATTTTCGAAAGATGAGCGTGGGGAATGTTTTTTAGTAATACAGCTGAAAAGCGAAGAACGTTTAACGTCATCTTAAAAGAAACCATATGTAGCGTTACAGGCAAAATGTTACATGGCAGTGAAAGAAGGGCGAAAGAGATTGAGACAGCAAAGGAAACGGTTGATTAAACAGCAAAAATGTGGTTGGCGGGAGGGGGGAGGCGAGCAAGCATGAAACGGAAAGAGACAACACGAAATCGAAGACAAAATCGATTGAAGACTTAAATAAAATAACAAAGATTATTTATCTTACAGTGGATATACTTTGGAAATATCCTCAAGAGAAATATGTCCGTGTTATCGATTTGAGTTTAAGCACTGCATTCTAAATGAGTGAGAATCGACTGACAAAACCACAGCAACCCAGAAACATTTTTTTAATGGGTAACAGACTAAGAAACCCTATTTCCCCTCACAATTACATCTACATGTCATATTAAAAGACGATAATTGACAAATAATGAGCGATATTTACAAACATGCCAAAAACAAAATAACAAAAAAACAACAACCCACAGTACAAAAGAAACCGTTTAAGTCAAAGCTGTCTCTCCTATTAGATAAGCTAAAATTAAGATCACCATGTGAAATCTTTTGATCAATCAAGATGATGGCTGTCTCCAAGCCAATCAAAACTAAAACTATTTTTTCTAGATGCGATGGCCAATGCTTTTAGGAAAAAATTCTGTTTCTTCTAAATGGCTTCCCAATGAGCAGAGAGAGCTTATTCAGCCAACAATGAGGAGATGAGAAGTCAAAAAGTACGAAGATGGCAATCCAATGCAGTAAAGGGAGATGCAATCAGCAGAGAGATGCTGCTGTCTCACCAGGCTGTCTCTCCAAGCCAAGATAATCATGGCTCATCAGCATAGAGAGATACAGGGGCCAAACTGTCTCTCAATCCAAACAACGGGGAGGCAAACAAGTAGGAAAGATCAGCATAGAGATTCGGCTGTCTCTCCAAGCAAAGCATTAGGGATATTCGATGTCTCTCCAAGCCAATCAGCAGAGAGATGCGGCTGTTTCTTGAAGCCAAACAGTAGGGAGATGCGGCAGTGTCTCTCCAAGCAGGGGAATAAACAGTGGGGAGAGATGCAAGGCTAGGGAGATGCGGCTGTCTCTACAAGACAATCAGCAGATAGATGTGGCTGTCTCTTCAAGCCAATCAGCATTGAGATGTGTCTCTCTCCAAGCCATACAGTAGGGAGATGCGATTGCTCTCCAAGCCGAAATGTAGTGAGATGCGGCTGTCTCTCCAAGAAAATCAGCAGAGATATGATGCTGACTCTCCAAACCAACCAGCTGAGAGATACGGCTCTCTCTCCAAGCCAAACAGTAAGGAGATGTGGCTATCACTCCAAGCCAATCAGCGGCGGCTTTTTTCTCGAAGGCAAACACTTCAGAAGCCAAAACAGTAGAGATGATCCTAGCCAGGCAGTAGGAAGATTCGGTTGTCTCTCCAAGCCAATCAGCAGAGAGATGCGTTTGTCTCTCCAAGTCAAGCAATAGGAAGATACGATTGCAATCCAAGCCAAACAGTAGGGAGATGCGGTTGTCTCTCCAAGCCGATCAGCAGAGAGATTCGGATGTCTCTCCAAGCCAGAGAGATGCAGCTGTCTCTTCAAGCCAAACAGTAGGGAGATGCGATGGCTCTCCAAGCCAATCAGCAGAGAGATGTGGCTGTCTCTCCAAGATAATGGCAAAACAAGCCAAGCTAAAAAAGTAGGGGGGAGCAAATACGACTATCTCAATCAGCTAATCAACAGAGAGACGCGACTGTCTCTCTCTCCTCCAAGCAATCAAACAGTGTCTCCAAGACAATCAGGATTGATGCAGCTGTCTCTCAAGCCAAAAGTAGGGAGGGGTGAAGCCAAACAGTAGGGAGATACGACTATCTCTCCTAGCTAATCAACAGAGAGACGCGACTGTCTCTCCAAGCCAAACAGTGGGGAGATGTCTCTCCTACCCTATGCCTCTCCAAGCCAAACAGCAGGGGAGATGCTATGCCTCTCCATGCCAAACAGTAGGCAGATGCGATGACTCTCCAAGCCAATCAGCAGAGAGTTTCGGCTGTCTCTCTAAGCGGAACAGTATCTATCCCTGTCTTTGCCTGTTCATAAATTTCAGATACTCTAATATGTCTGACCTTTCAAATCCAAGTCGCCACCTTTGTTGTTTTCGTCACAACATTTCGACAGTTTCACCGTCTTCCTGGGAGATTCTTGATAAAATCCAAAGAAAAATTTGAAACGTCATTGCTCCTGACCTGGCATCCATCCTTCCCACCATTGTAAAATAGCTTCCCTGTGTCTTATTTATAAATACTTTCATAGTCATTGTTCTGATGAACTTTCCTTTATGCTACCTAAAATCTATGTATTTAATCGCAGTACTAGATTGTCAGTTAGGTCTCATCATTTTACGATTGATACGGCTAGATGTAATCTTAAGTTCCTGCTAATAGTTTATTCTCTTGCACGTCTTGCATGGGGAACTCTCTTCCGACTTCCATGCTTTCCAATCAATCTTGATCTTCAAAAATTCAAATGCTATGTCAATCATCATTTTCTGTCTGCTTGACCCCTGCCCTGTTATTGTTCTCTCCTTAAAGTTTCTTTCTCAGATTCTTTCAGTCTCACTAACTCTTTGCATCTTAGTGGCTTTATCGCCATAAATTGACCTAAACCGAACGAAATCTTTCATTGTAGCAGTCATCATCAATTAATGGTTATTCGTCGCCCATTTCAAAAGAATTAATTATTTTTTGCAGTAAATCCAAGAGTTTAAGAATTTAAAGGAATTATTATTTAATCGCTAAAGAGATACGTTAAATTTATGTATTTATTCATTCAGTTTTTACAAGGCAAATGAAATAAAATACTTTACATTGTAATGGTTACCTTTAATTGTTTTTTTGTTTTTTTCAGATTCACCATTTTCTTAGTCGAGTTGATAATTATTGATAATTCCAATGAATTTAACTAAATAAACTTCAATGATGCGCTAAGAGTTACAACAATTTATTTATATTTTTTTTTACAATATTGCAAATGTGCACTTAAATAGGTATTTTGAGGATGCATCTATTCATAGGAAAAAAATATCTGAAATGTGCATAGAAACAGACATATATATGCTATCAAAAAAGTTAATACATTTTACTAAACCTTATTATTCATGAGTTACCAACAAAAACATAGTGAAGGTATAAAATGACTTAGAAAAGATATCATCTAGTTTCTGTTGTCGATGAGAAATTAGATCTCCGGTCGTTTGGCTTATCTTTTGGGTTAAAAGAGTCGCTTGCAGAAGATTTTTGTTAACGAGTCGGTATTTACAGTTGACTGACTATGAACAGTTAGAAAATGATATATGTATTTTCAGGAGATAAAATTTCGAAAGTCTTTAAATTTGGTCATTAAAAGTTCCTCTCTTTTTATACCAAATGATCTACATTTCGTAGTTTTCTAATTTTATTTTAGATTTTATTTTTGTCACCTATTTCCTGAAACATGGCATTTTCACACACACAAACACACACACACACACACACACACACACACACATATATATTTGCGCGGTACTTATTGGAAAACGCTCACATCAATCCAACGATATATATATATATATATATATATATATATATATATATATATATATATCTTGAACAATAAAAAATTAAAATCTTTAGACACACTGGGTTGTAGATTAATATTCTTTGTTTTTTTTTATTATTATTATCGACCCAAATGGCCATCATCGGGAGGAGAATTATTTCTGCTTGCTGTTAGCACTAAACTACAGAAATGAGTCTTTTGTTGGAGAAAAAAAAAATATATATATATAATTCTTACCTTTCGTTCCCCCACTTTAACTTTCGGAATGAGGTTTTAATTTATTTTTAAATTTCCTTAAAAATCATTTAATCATCAGTTACATACCATCACCTGAAGAAGTACAATCAAGGAATTGAAACATGAAAGCTTTTTGTAGCGATTTCAACATGTTTCATTATAATCTTTTATAATGAAAATATTAATAACTAGCAGTAGAGCCCAGCGTTGCCTGGGGATGTAACAGTAACAGATAGATCAAGTATCGACCATCATAAAGACTGAAAAATAAAATTGACAAACATTATTGTTTAAGGTTGACGGACACGCATGTCTTAATTAGTTTTTTTTTTTTTTACGAATTGGTCAAACCCAAACTCAAACAAAACATTGTTTTCAATCGTTATGAGTCTATCGATTGAATAGAATTTTATTATAAACAATTGTCTTGTAAATGGAATTTTAAAGCATTCTGAATGTAAAAATAAAGAAAAAGTGTGCAAAACAATAAGAAACACTACCTGCCAAAAAAAAAGTGAAGTTTATTTGAAATCGGTTGAAAAAGGAAATCCGATCCCATATATAAACGATCACACACATACACACACACACACACACACACACACACACACACACACACACAACCTGGCTTTTATAATAAGTATAACCTCGATATGAGTTGTCCCCTTTTATTCTTCTCACGAAAGCGATGTCGCTTAATCGTGTTTTCAAATTGATTTCGTGCAAAAACAATTGTGTTTTTCCAGTTTTGGGCACTGCCAAAACCACCGCAAGGTAATTTTACGTAGCCCTGTGAAGTTTTGTTGAAATCGCTTGAAAAATATAGGAAATCCGATCCAATATATAAACGAACAGACACACACAACCTGGGTTTTATAATAAGTATGATTATAATATATATATATATATATATATATATATATATATATATATATATTTCTTCGAATATTATTATAATGGAAAACCTATTTTTTAATAAACATAATATTATCGGATTAAAATGAAATTTATTTTTTATGAAAGAACTTCCAAACACGCGCTAAATATGAACATACATGGGGAAAAGATTTCCAAAACTTAATTAAAACTAAGTTTTGTTGTCAAAATCTTTATTTTTATTATTAAGAGACAAGATCAAAGGATTTTTTATGTAAAAATTATTTTTTAATACTATTTAGAACTTTTGAAATTTTAGAATTTTAAGGATTTGATAGTCCGGTAGTGGCCATTCTGCCATGCAAGGAAGTCACGATCGACAGAGCAAGACAAATACTCACTAGATAATTCAACCAATCGAGTCTTAAAGAAAGAGATCTTGTCAGGAGAAAACGGTTTGTGCCAGTGAAATTTAGAGAATAATAATTCAAACCCTCTTTATAGTAGAAGGGGAAAAGAAAAATTCAATTCTCTGGATCGACTTAGTCGTTCAGTAAGGGAGACATCTGAATCTCCATTCTCAAAGTCAAAACCATATCGCCTAGAAACAAGAGAATTAAGATAACTCTTTTAATTCGGAACGCTCATCAAATTGTAACCGAATAACGAAGTAACGAGAAAAGCGAAAAAATTAAAAAAAAACAAGATAATTTTTTTGTAATATCGAACAAGGACAACCGAAACAGAGGTAAAAACATGAGGAAGAAAACTTAAACAATTTATTCAACTCATGTTTTACAAAAGCTTGTTTAACTGAAAGCAATCTTAATTTTAAGCAACCTACGTCTTCTAAATGACATGCCGACACTATATGATAAAGAGGACTACAGAAAACAATGCTTGGCTCTAAGTTCATGCTCTAAGTTAACCTCGTGCCATAGCCGAATAGAATGATTAAATTTGTCGATAATATTTCTATGATATCTATGACGGAAATATTTCAATAATGATTTGACACAACAGAATAAATACACTGACTTAAAAAAAGAACTGTAGACTTTTTTTCCTTAAGAATTCTTGAGACCAACTTCATCAGAAGGATTGTTTCTGAAGAAGTGATAGTCATAAATCATTATTCAAATATATATATATATATATATATATATATATATATATATATATATATATTATATAATATTAAACTGAACAATATGCATATACATATACATATATATATATATATATATATATATATATATATATATATATATATATATATATATATTTATTGGAATATTGTATTTTGATTTTATATATATATATATATATATATATACACTTTAAAAATGCGCTACCTTGGTTTCAACTTACGGTATCCTCCCTGAGGATAAAAAAGTAAGATTTAAGCCAAGGCAGCGGACTCAACTGACCTCCTGATTTTTAAAGTTAAAAGCTCTACATGTTAGTTTTACTGTTGTTTTTTATCACAGGTATTGAACACTTTTTAATGCTGCTGTTTCCTCGTGTGATTAAATTCTGATTATTAACCTTTGATGTATTTTACACACACACGCACACATACACACACACACACACACACACACATATATATATATATATATATATACACACGCACATATTGATCCGTTCTTGTGTGACATAGTTTAGAAATGTTTAAATCAATGGCTCCTTTAAATTTCGAAGTTTATTAAACAACTACCGCTATATATGTAAAAACTAAAAATTATGAAAAAATAATTTAAGAAAGAGAAAAGAAAGAAAAACTTAATATCTGTAAAAATATTTAATCTCAAGAATTCATATAAGAAGTCTATTACGTAGTACCAAACGTAAACAAGGAATAAAATGAAGATTTAAGATGAATAAATTCGAAACTAATAATAACGACAATAATTCATTTCAGATGAAATTACGCCGACTTAAAAACTGATTCAGTTAGTTAGGGTTGTTCTCAGAACCTGCCACAGACACATCCCTGTTAGCCGCTGTTACCAGGAATTTGCCATTTCGTCTAGTATTCTGCAACCGCTCTCAGCTCCACCATATCGACTGTTTGCATCTTCTTGCAATGGTTGTATTCTTTTAGTGCTTATAATGTAGAATCTTACTTATTAGGGTCATTACTAAAAATTACTTTACCTTACTTAATGAAGTTAAAAAATATCGTTTGCTTTTGAAATACAAATATCAGAAGTATAAATATATATGTTCATCACAGCGTCAATGCAGTGTAAGTATAAGAAGTAATATTATATTTTATAACCTATTTATCACTA